GGGTCCCAGAGACTAATTGATAATATACCATAGTCTTGGACTAGACCATGTATTGTTTCTGAATATAAATAAAAGTAAAAATCATATTTAAAATTATTGGAATCAGAAAATAGGATTGCGGAACCCCATTTGGGATCCTGAGCAAAGAGCATAACACCAAGGCTTTAGATATTATCTGCTAAACTTACATCAGGTTGTGTTTTTACTCTGTAATATGATAATGAAACTCTTTCCATATCTGCTGCAAGATAATGAGCAGTTCTGATGTTGATTTTATCACTTTGAGCTTTTCATACCGCTGCTGTTTTTTTACATGACGGCAGTTGGTATCATAGCAACCAGGTCTACAAGTGTTTATAGAACGCTAGTAACTACATACCTCTTCCAAATCTTGGCACTGGTTTATGGAAGTTATGGATGTGTGTTAATTAAAATATTAATAATGAAACACATGGATGATTTTATATTTTTAGAATCTGTTTGCATGTGACACAGATTCTTTTAGGAAAATATTTAGTATAATTCACAATTTCTCATCAACACCAGAAAAAAATATTCTGATGTAATTTACAAAGAAGAGTACATACGTGATCTAGTTGCAACATATATAACTCCTAGGGTGATGCTGTGCTCAAAGTTCTTCTACTTCTAATACCTTTGTGATCTCAAGGAACCCCTTCTAAAAATGACTATATCTACAACTCATGATACATTAGTGTGACAGTAAGTGGGAAGAATGTTCCTTACATTGGTGGTTAATGGAAAGAATGACCCCCTTACAGATAGCTTAAAAGGTCAATGGTGTCAGTGGGAACTTATTTGAGAGGCTGGAATTGCTCATTGCTCACAGAACCCCTAGCAACCTCTGGAGAAACCCCAGGGTTCCATGAAACCCTGGTTGAGAAACCCTGTTTTAAAGGGTTTATGTAGCTCCAATTCACAGACCCATTGAAAGTTATCATGTGTTAAAAAGATGTAGTTTCACATGTTGTGGGACCCTCAAAGCTGCTTTTGGAAGAACTTAAAAGTGATTCTAAAGGCTTAAATTAAAAAAAAAAAAAAAAAAAAGGAAGAAACTCAATCATGTCTATACTTACTTGCCCTGTGTAGTGGCACTCCTGGCCCCTCCCTCCTGTCGGGTGCCCCCACAGCAAGCAGCTTGCTATGGGGGCATCTGAGCATGCTCACTCCCCAGCCGCTGCTCCGAGTGTCCATTCACACATTGAGCCGCAGCTCGCCAATGGCTCCCGTTGCCTCAGCCAATGAGGAGAGGGAGCCCTGGGATAACCAAAACTCCAGTGCACATCGCTGGATCGAGATAGGGCTGAGGTGAGTATAGGGGGGAGGGGGCTTCTGAACAGGGAAAGTTTTTCACCTTCATGCATAGATTGCATGAAGCTAAAAAACCTTGAGTCTTTACAACCACTTTAATTTAGCTGATTAAGAGAGATATATCACTGAAAGGGGCTTTTACAAGCCCACAGCTTTTTTAACGTGTTAATGTACTCTGCTTTAGTTGGATATCTGTAGTAGAAATAAAACAAAATGAATTATTTTTTTCCTTTCGTAACAGAATGATCTTCTTCACACTGGTGTTTAGAACAACCCCATGAACAAGGAATAAAAACAATGTTTTGGAGGCATTGTGATTCTACCACTTTTACAGTGTGCTCCTGTGGAGTGATATGTAGAAATGATCAGGTCCTAGGCTTATGCAGGCCATAGAAAGGTCAAAAATCGGCCGATTTGCGCACCGTTAATGGGTTAATTGGTCGGGGTTTTGGCACATTTTTTTTATTGGTGAAGTTGGAAAAAAATCAGACGTTTTTGCCGATCGACCAATTTTCCCGGCAATGATGTGCAAATCGGCCGATCTTTTTACCGATAAAAAATCTGCGCATGAGCCGTGGCCTGCAAGAAGAAGAAAAAGAAGAATAAAAACAATAAAAAGAAAAAAAGAAGAAAAAGAAGAAGGAAAAGAATAAAAAAAAAAAGAAGAAAAAGAAGAATAAAAAGAAGAAGCATAAGAATTCCAGTCCACTATTATATTTGACATGAAAAAGTATTGCGGTTGCTCTAATGTATCCATTTGTATTTGAATAAAAACATCTGTATCCCAAATGGATACAAATAGATACATTGTTGCAACCGCAATTCTTTTTCATGTCAAATATAATAGTGGAGCTCTCTGCAGGGACAGAAGTAATTAAATGCCGGCCGTAGACAGGACGAAAATCGGCCGATTTTTTTTACCGTTGGTGGTAACATCGGCCTATTGAACGACCGATTTTTCGTTTTTGTTTTTTTTTTTAAAACGGCCGGTTTTTGCCCCGTCTATGGCCTGCATTAGTGCTGAACCCCAGCTGTCACTGACAAGCAAGGGTTACTCTGGTAGAAGCCGCCAACACCTGATAGAGTTAGGTTAAACAGCTACTGTCTGTGTGGCATTTTAAAGTGGAACTAAGTTCAGGATTACTCACCTCTGTTTCAATGGTCCAACATCTGTGAGGTCCCTTGCTGGGCATTCGCATGTTCAGGTGGCATTAATTTCAATGGCATCTGAAAACACAGGGCATTTTTTCTTTCTATTTACGTGTGACAAACGCACCGAAAACAAAATTGCAGGACGCACGATGCCCAAACAAGGTTCCAGAACCGTTTTTTTGGGTGTCGTGTATCCCTTGATTTTGTTTGAAATGTCCTAGTGTGAATGGAGTCTAAAGCCCAACTTCAGAGGACTAAGAAATTATTCCTTAAAGCAGGGCTGTGCCTGCACTGCAAGGGCTCATTTAGGGTTAGGGGTACAATAAATGAAGATTTCCTTACTTGATTCTCAGCTCTTCCCTGCTGCTAGTCAAGTCCCTGAAGCCTCTTCTCCTGACATCAAAGAAAAACAGGGTACATAGCCCTGCATTGGATGTGTTAATGCTGAGGGATAGTCCTTTGCCGGAGTATGGGGGAGCAGAGAATCGGGCAAATAAAAGTGCTCTCCTAGACAAAGCAAGCAATTAATAAAATTTTACTTTTCCAGAGTTGGGCTTTAAACAGGGCTGCTGTTAGAAATCACGGGGCCCCATACAGCCTGATAGGGCCCTGCTCCATTCAGAAAATATCAAATGATATTCCTACTAAAATGCCATGCCTGTGATGCTCAGCCATGGCAGACATTATACCCTCATCAAACAAGACCTATTCAGGTGAATAGTGCTGCTCTGGGGTTAAAACAGGTAGTAGTGTCAGTCAGATGCTCTCTGAAGAGCAATCCAAATGCTGACTGTAAATTGTAAACTATGTATGCTGTGTTCCTGCTCATGTAAACAAGCCCTTCATTTTTAAATTATTTTAAATTTTTTCACTTTTTTTTTTTAGAATGTTATTTTATTTCTGTATTTTACATTTTTTTTTTAACTGCCATGTTGGGGGGGGGGGGGGGGGTTGGTGCAATATCAGGGATCTAAACAGACCCCTGATGTCTCACATTTGAGACTGAGATAGGGAAAGGGGAAAGGGCACACAGGGGAGACTAGCAGGTCTGAGGTGGAGGGGGGAAGGGGGGGTGCGCACAGAGGGCTGGACAGCAGAGGGGTGGTATGATCAGAGTGATGGGGGCACAGATGCTAGAACCGATCCCCCTGTGGTGCAGCTGGAGGGAGAGCTCCAGTAATAAGGCAGTTCAGCTGGCCCTCTTGCTCAGCAGGTGCCGGAGCTCCCCTTTTGAACTGATCAAAAAAAATGAAAAACCGTAGAAAATGTTAAATCAACAAAACATGAAACTGCTAAGTTTCTTTAAATTTGCAAAAATAAGTGTCATAAGATGCCACCAGCACCAATATTAAAGACAAAATCAGTGTCACAGACGGACTGTATATGTGGCTGGCAGTGGCAGGGTGACAGTTGCAGGGAGTGAAGGATGATGGATCCACACTCTGACAGATCCCAGGCTGGAATTCCCTAGGCAATGGGGAGAGATAAAACGCTGTGACAGCAGAAGCTGAACTGAGCGATCCCACACAGTGACAGATCCGACAACACCAACAACACTGACACAGATCAGCAAGCACTAGAAGAGCAGGCTGTGGGATCGTGATGATGTTCTCATTCACTGACATATTGCACATGAGATGGATGGCCAGCTAGCCGGGTAACACTCACACAAACATGAGACATCAGAGTCAGACATTACCTTGCTCCGTAGGTGCAGTTCCACCTCCACTGATGAATGGGAAGAGAAAGGCTGGAACTCCTCAGTGATCAGCAGCTGCCAGCTGGCTTGCTGTAAGGGACTGAGCCTGAGAGGAAAACTGGAAGGAGCCGCAGCTGCTACACTGGCCCCAGACACCCGGCATCTTCCTCTGTCCCTTCTTCCTCCCTCTCTGTTGCCCCTCCCCCTAGTTGAAGGATCATTCATGACGTTGCAGCATCCCACAAAGAAAGAGTTCAGGCCTGTGCTGCGCCCAGGTGCCCCTAGGTGGCAATGCGCCCAGGTGCCCATAGGTGGCAGTGCGCCCAGGTGCCCCTAGGTGGCAGTGTGCCCAAGGCAGCTGCCTAGTTTGCCTAATCCCAAGCTATGCTGGTAGGGTATTTGGCTCCTGTGTAACTTGGCCCTAGTATGTGTATGTATGAATGTAAGGGACCTTAAATTGTAAGCCCCTTAACCACTTGCCTACCAGGCACTTATACCCCCTTATTTACCAGGCCAATTTTCAGCTTTCAGCGCTGCCGCACTTTGATTGACAATTGCGCGGTCATGCAACATTGTACCCATATGAAATTTTGATCATTTTCTCACAAATAGAGCTTTCTTTTGGTGGTATTTAATCGCCACTGGGCGCTTTACTTTTTGCGCTATAAATTAAAAAAGTGCAAAAAATTTGAAAAAAAAAAAAAAAAAGTTTCTTTGTTTCTATTATAAAATTTTTCAAACAGGTATTTTTTCTCCTTCACTGATGTGCGTTGATGAGGCAGCACTGATGGGCACTGATGGGCACTGATAGGCAGCACTAAAGGGCACTGATAGGCAGTACTAATGAGGTGGCACGGATGTCACGGATAGGCGGCACTAATATGCAGCACTGATAGGCGGCACTGATAGGTGACACTGATGATGGGTACTGATAGACGGCACTGAGTGGCATCACTGCTGGGCACTGACTGGCGGCACTGACTGGCACAACCCCTGGGCACCGACTGGTGGCACTGACTGGCAGCACTGCTGGGCTGCACTGGTGGGTGGCACTGGTGGGCAGCACAGGTGGGTGGGCACAGGTGGGTGGCACTGGTGGGCACAGGTGGGTGGGCACAGGTGGGTGGCACTGCTGGGCACAGGTAGGTGGCACTGCAGAGTGGCACAGGTGGGTGCACTGCTGGGCACAGGTGGGTGCACTGCTGGGCACAGGTGGGTGATCTGCTGGGCACGGGTGGGCGGAGCTAGTGGACGCACTGCTGGGCACAGGTGGGCGGAACTTGCGGGTGGCACTGCTGGGCACCGATCATCAGGGCACTGATCATCAGTGCCCTGATGATCGGTGCCGATCCCCGCTCTGACAACTGCCGGTTCTCGGCAGTACTTTCCTCACGATCTGACAGCGTGAGGAAAGTGCAGCCGAGAACCGGCACTTACATTTCCCTGTGATCAGCGTGTCATTGGACACCGCTGATCACGTGGTAAAAGGCCGCTGTGATTGGCCTTTTACCACATCACGTGATCAGCTGTGTCCGTAGGACACAGCGATGATCGCCGGGTCCGTAGGAGAGCGCGTTCTGGGAGGACGTCATATGGCGTCCACTCAGAACTGGCCGGCCGCAGTGCAGCCGTCATTCGGCTATCTGCGGTCGGCAGTTAGTTAAGGGTTAGGGACTGATGTGAATGTACAATATATATATATGTAAAGCGCTGCGTAAATTGATGGCACTATACAAGTACCTGAAATAAAATAAATAGTGGAAGCACCGGCCCTGGTTGGGAGTAGGATGTGGGATGCAGCACACCAGCACTGAAACATGCAGCATTCTATCCCAAAGTAAGAGGTAACAGTGACGTAGAATGTAATGGGGCCTGTGTGCGGGATCATAAGTTGGGCCCTCCTGAGAAAGAACAAGAAAGTGAGGCGTGTGCAGCGCGCCACGGTAAAAGTTGGTTTGGTTGTGCTGAATATTGGCCGTGGTTAAAATAGAAGAAGAGTGCAGGGGTTCAGTATTAAGTAGCGTAAAGTAAGTGCTGCAGAGTTCATAGGTCAATAGTAAATGATGCAGAGGTCAGTAGCAAGTGGTGCAATTTTAAGAGGTCAGAGATGTCAGTACCATCTTAATAGCAATATTGGTCCTTAGGCAAAGTAATGCACTGGGGCCCATACAAAGGAGATGGTGACCTGTGGTGTGCATAGCGCTCAACGGCAAACAGTGGGTGTGGCTAAAATATGCAACCTATTCAGTGGGTGTGGCTAAAATATGTTACATCTTGGGTGTGGCTTTTTAGTCTGGTTAGAACTTTTAGTCTGATTTTTTCCATTTAATTATTTTTTTTACAATTTTTTAAATTAACTTTTTACACTTTTTTTTTTTTAACAATACTGTTGGGGGGTCTTTGGTGAGATATCAGGGATCTGAACATATTGAGATAGAGAAAAGGACTGAGGAAGCATTCCCCAGTTAGAAATTAGTTGGTGCATGGAACTAACGGGATCTAGGGAGGTTCTGAGGGAGGAAGAGGGGCTGAAGGGGCTCTAATTATTATTATTATTATTATTATAATACAGTATTTATATAGCGCCAATGGCTCGCTCAGATGTGCAGCTGTCATTGCTGGTATTTGATAGGCTGTGAGGGAGTGATATGCCTGAAAATGCTGACCTGCTGTGCCGCAACCATGTGCATATTGCACATGGCTGCAGGGCAGTTATGGTGCACCCCTATGCACCATGCGTACAGCTCTGAAATGGGTGGTCAGGATGGTAAAGCCATGGCTCAACTGTCTGCTTTTACTGGCCTTATTTACAATTGCAGTTGTTGGGGTGGTAAAAACAGTTAGGAGATGAGTTTACCAACACCCCCCTGGGACCCCCCCATTGCATTCAGTGGGCAGTACTACCTGATGAATGTAACCCATTTAGGTGCAGCTAATGATCAGTGTATTCTGATTGTGCCAGACATTGTCTGGATGGCAGAATTTGTTCATTTTTCATTCAGACTGCTGGCTGAAGAAAAGAAAAAAACAAACATTCATCTATGGGCAGCTTAACTCCCTAGCGGTCTGATTATGTCAGTATTTCTGTGCTCAAAGCGGTAGATTGTTTTCAATGGAAATATGTTTTTTTTTATTGTAGGCCTGTAATTCTTAGGAATAACTCACTGAAATCTGTTTAAACAAGAGTCTAGTAGACATCCTGGGTGCAATAAAGTTTAATAAATTAAATCATAAATTATAATATAATAAATAATAATAATGTAATAATAAATTAAATAATGTAATCAAATCAAAACACACGGAACTCTGTCCAAACAATATTATATAGACACTGCATATTCTAGAAAACATCACGGGTGTGGTATATTTTGAAACACGGGACTGCACAAAGTCCGACATTGCAATCAGAACAGTGAAACCTCGTTTCCTTGTGGATTTATTTCCACTCTCATCTCGCCAAGAGCAACATACCACGTGTAGGTGCTGCCTTTTTTTGGGTTGGTGGGATGTCGTCCATAAAATGACGTCCAGTCAGGCGTTCTGGGTTGACAACTCCCACAGCATGTTGTCCGGATCTACCCACAGACACTGATGGTGTTTCATGCTTGAGGAAAATGGATTCCCCAACTTTCCAGATAAAGTCTGCATGAACCACAGGCTTGTCACTCTTTTTGCGGAACAGAATGTAGGCATTCCACAAGCACTGTTCTAGAACATTCTGGAAAATCTTTTTGTAGCATTTCCTCTGCTGCTTTCTTATCGCCAGATAGAATGTCATAGATTGGTTAGCTCTGTCGACACCTCCCATGGTGCTGTTGTAGTCAATGACAACCTGCGGCTTCTGGATGTTTTTCCCACCTTTTGTTTGTACCATCACTGTGGAGGCATTGTGAACGGTACTGATAAGGCACACATCCTTCTTGTCCCACCATCTCAGTGCAATCATTTTGCCTTTCTGCCAGGCAACTAATTCTCCCGACTTCAGTTTGTTTTTTGCAAACACTGATGGCAGGTTGCGCCGGTTAGCCCGAACGATTCCATATGCATCCTTTTGTGCTGAAGAAGAACCTCGTAAAGTTCTGGAGAGGTGTAGAAATTGTCCATCGTTACACAGTAGCCTTGGTTCAGCAGAGGCTCAATCAGTGACATGACAGGGATGGAAGATGTTGCCATTCCATATTTGCTGTACTTAGGATCAGATTTTGTGCCTTTGCCGGTGTATATGACTGTGTTCCAGATTCCAGATGTAGCCGGTAGAAAATTCGCACAGCAGGTAGGATTTGACACCAAACCGTGCTCTCTTGAATGCGATATATTGTATCAAGCTGAAACTTCCTTTGTAGACCATTAGACTTTCGTCTATACTAATGTCTCTCTCTGGCACATACAGTGGGGCAAAAAAGTATTTAGTCAGCCACCAATTGTGCAAGTTCTCCCACTTAAAAAGATGAGAGAGGTCTGTAATTTGCATCATAGGTAGACCTCAACTATGAGAGACAAAATGAGAAAAAAAATCCAGACAATCACATTGGCTGATTTGGAAAGAATTTATTTGCAAATTATGGTGGAAAATAAGTATTTGGTCAATATCAAAAGTTCATCACAATACTTTGTTATATATCCTTTGTTGGCAATGACAGAGGTCAAACATTTCCTGTAAGTCTTCACAAGGTTGGCACACACTGTTGCTGGTATGTTGGCCCATTCCTCCATGCAGATCTCCTCTAGAGCAGTGATGTTTTGGGGCTGTCGCTGGGAAACACGGACTTTCAACTCCCTTCAAAGGTTTTCTATGGGGTTGAGATCTGGAGACTGGCTAGGCCACTCCAGGACCTTGAAATGCTTCTTACGAAGCCACTCCTTCGTTGCCCAGGCGGTATGTTTGTTGGAAGACCCAGCCACGTTTCATCTTCAATGCCCTTGCTGATGGAAGGAGGTTTGCACTCAAAATCTCACGATACATGGCCCATTCATTCTGTCCTGTACATGGATCAGTCTTCCTGGTCCCTTTGCGGAGAAACAGCCCCAAAGCATGATGTTGCCACCCCCCATGCTTCACAGTAGGTATGGTGTTCTTTGGATGCAACACAGCATTCTCTCTCCTCCAAACACGACGAGTTGTGTTTCTATCAAACCGTTCTATTTTGGTTTCATCTGACCATATGACATTCTCCCAATCCTCTTCTGGATCATCCAAATGCTCTCTAGCAAACTTCAGATGGGCCCGGACATGTACTGGCTTAAGCAGGGGGACACGTCTGGCACTGCAGGATCTGAGTCCCTGGCGGCGTAGTGTGTTACTGATGGTAGCCTTTGTTACGTTGGTCCCAGCTCTCTGCAGGTCATTCACTAGGTCCCCCCGTGTGGTCTTGGGATTTTTGCTCACCGTTCTTGTGATCATTTTGACCCCACGGGGTGAGATCTTGCGTGGAGCCCCAGATCGAGGGAGATTATCAGTGGTCTTGTATGTCTTCCATTTTTATAATTATTGCTCCCACAGTTGATTTGTTCATACCAAGCTGCTTGCCTATTGCAAATTCAGTCTTCCCAGCCTGGTGCAGGTCTACAATTGTGTTTCTGGTGTCCTTCGACAGCTCTTTAGTCTTCACCATAGTGGAGTTTGGAGTGTGACTGTTTGAGGTTGTGGACAGGTGTCTTTTATACTGATAACAAGTTCAAACAGGTGCCATTGATACAGGTAATGAGTGTAGGACAGAGGAGCCTCTTAAAGAAGAAGGTACAGGTCTGTGAGAGCCAGAAATCTTGCTTGTTTGTAGGTGACCAAATACTTATATTCCACCATAATTGGAAAATAAATTCTTTCCAAATCAGCCAATGTGATTGTCTGGATTCTTTTTATCATTTTGTCTCTCATAGTTGAGGTCTACCTATGATGCCAATTACAGGCCTCTCTCATCTTTTTAAGTGGGAGAACTTGCACAATTGGTGGCTGACTAAATACTTTTTTGCCCCACTGTAGCTCTGCTGGAAATTTCTGACAATTATTTTGGAGACCCCAAATTTTTTTTAGCTTGGGAGCTGGATGAGTCGATTCATCAAAATCCTAATTATTTGCGAAGTGCAAAAATTTCATAATGAGGGAAAAGCTGTACTCTGATATGACGGTGCCAAAGAACGGCGTGGAGAGATTTTATTGGTGGTCCAGTACCACTTCTGCAGCGGTTTCCCCACCACT